GGGAACAGGGCCTGTGGGGGCCGCGTGCCCAAGGTGGGGGCCGCGGTCTGCAAGGGCCGGGGCCCGGCCGGCCCCGCGCAGGGCGCTGGCCGGAGGGTGGGTAGTCCTGGCAGGCCCAGGCGGGGCCTTGTGGCCCACTCTGGTTTCTGCCGTCTTTTCTCCCTCCCCACATGGGTGACCGCCCCCAGCCCAGCGGTGCCCACTCTGCGTCCTCTCCTGTGGGCTCAGATCCATGGCTCCCCATCTTTCCACAAACAGCAGAGCAGACACCGCACGCGGTCTACAGCCTCTGGCCCCTTCCCTTTATTTTGGAGAAAACGTGAATGTCAATTACATATAGATACAGTTTTTCTCCAAAACAAAAACAGCTGCAGGTTTTTATTGAAGTATAGCTGGTTTACAGTGTTGTATTAGTGTCGGGCAGACAGCAAAGTGACTCCGCTATAAATATATATTTACCGTTCTTCAGATTCTTTTCCTGTTGTAGGTTATAAGATATTAAATGTAGTCCCCATCTTTGTTGTCCATTTTATGTATGTGTATCTCTTAATACCAAGCTCCTAATCTATCCCTCTCCCCGCCTTTCGCCTTTGTAAGAATAAGTTTGTTTTCCATCTCTGTGAATCTGTTTCTGTTGTGTAAATAAGTGCATTTGTATCACATGCTAGATCTCACGTATAAGTGATGTCATGCGATATTTGTCTTTCTCTGTCTTTCACGGACTTACTTCAGTCCGTGTGAAAACCTCTGGGTCTCGTGGACACTTAAGTTGCTTCCATGTGAATAGTGCTGCTGTGAACGGAGGGTTGCATGTATCTTTTTGAATGAGTTCTACAGATACATGCCAGGCAGTGGGATTGCTGGACCATAAATGGTTCTATTTGTGGTTTTCCGGGGAACCTCCTTACTCTTCTCCACAGTGGCTGCAGTTTACATCCCAGCAGCAGTGTAGGCGGGCTCCCTTTTCCCCACACGCTCTGCAGCATGTTTTGTTTGCAGGCTATTTGACGATGGCCGTTCTGATGATGGGGTGAGGGGGAACCTGGCTGTACTTTGGGTCTGCAGTCTTGGTCATCCAGGTATCACCTGGAGCCGGCGCTGAGCGTTATGGTGATCCGCAGGTGAGCTGCGTTTGGGCCACCCTGGGCTGGAAGGTGCGCCGGCTATCCTGGGAGGGATGGGGATGACGGCACAGCCGCAGTTTTCACCATGAGGGCAGCGGAGAAGGGCTTGCTGAGAGCTGTGACTCCACCTTTGTTAACTCACTCGATGCTGCGGCAGCCTCGCGAGGTCAGTACTGTCGCAGTGCCCCTTGGACAGTAAGGAAACCGAGCCAGAGAGGTCACCGAGTTCCTGGACACTCACAGCTGGGGGTGAAGGGGTGCGGGGCGCAGGCTGTGCAGCTCGGACACCCGCCCTGGGGACCTTGGGTGGCCCGGAGTCCTTCAGTCTCATCAGGCCATGAGGTGGCATCGATTTAGTCCGAGTTATCAAACGAAGGTAACATTGCAGAAAGTTCTCAAGGTCACGGGAATAAAATGAATAAAAATCTTTGCCCGCCTACATGCCTGCCGCTGCCACTGGACGTGATTTTGCCCAGTGGACGTTCGCGTGAATGTCGCTTCCCATCCCCTCCGTCCCTTCCTCCTTCTCTCTTTTTCTTTTCATGGCTTTCCGAGACTAGATTTCCAGAAATCGGTGACCATGCAAGGGGCACAAGTTAAAAAATTTATAAACAGTTTCCGGCAGCGCGCGTGTGAAGCGCAGCCTTAAACGAGGGGATCCCCATTGGCCGAGGCTGAGTGTGGGAGTCGCGATCAGGAGCTGGATCTTAGATAGCTCTTCGGAGGCTGATGGGAAATGCCCGGCTCCCAGGCATCGTTATCGCCGTGGTCATCCGCATCGCGTTATCTGAGGCCCCTTCAGGAAGCGCGAGGGCGGGCAGAGAAGTCAGCCTTGCCTGGGGGACTTCTCGTGAGAGTCAGAGGCTCCCACGGAGGGCGAGGGCGGACCACACAGAGTGACCGTCCCGAGCGCACCGGCCGGGACGGGGCCGAGCCCGGGGCCTCTGCCGGCTCAGCTGCGCGGGCGCTGGGCCCCTGGAGCCGCTGTCCGGGCCGACGGTGCCTGACGAGGCCCTGCAATGAGCAGTGCACATCTGGGCAACCTGATGGGGCGGCCCTGGCCGAGCTGCCAATGCACGCGGTGAGCAGGGGCAGGGCAGCGTGCGCAGGGGGACGCCATGTGCGTAAAGTAACGCCCACGGTCCCTTGGTTGCCTTTCTGTTTTCCAACTTTCGATGGAGATGGGGCACCAAGAGCCGTGTCTCCGCCGTAGGACGAACAGCAACGCGTACGACTTTAGGCCTCAGAGAGCACCTCAGCTCCATGCTGGGCTGGCTAGGGAGTGACGGGGACTGTGCCCCCGCGGAGGGTGGCTGACCCGGAAGTGCTCTCTCGGAGGAGGAAGCCGCTGACCCAAAGGGACCTGCTGCGGACCTCCAGGTGGTCGGTTGTGTCTTGCTGGGCGTTTCCTCCTTAAACGGAAGGGGCTCCAGGAAATGGTGGGGGGGGGGACGCCCTCAAAAGCTGCAGCAGCCTGCTCCTTCGATTTGATTTTCTGAAGGAAGGAAAAGAGGAATATTCTTGATGCACCCAGGACACCCTGTTAGCAACTTTCACTGACTCGTGAATCTGTATCTCAGCGTCCCTCCATGGGGATCTTTTTTATTCCCTTCCGTTTAAAATCTGAATATGTTTTAAAAGGTGACACATTTTGGTGATCTGAGATTCCAGAGGCACAGGAGGGCACGTGGTGGAAGCCCTCTCCTCCCACTGTCTCCCCCAGTTACAGTCACAGACACAGCCAGCGTCTTGGCCCCTAGTGAGTTCTAGGCACAGCGTTCCCAGGTACGAGTGTATGTGCATATAGACCTTCTCATTAAACTGGGACGCAATTGACATGCAATGTTATGTTCATTCCAGGCATAGGACGTGATGGCACCATACATGTGTACATTACAAAATGATCGGGCAGGAAGGCTAGTTAACATCCATCACTACACATAGTTACAACATTTCTTGGGATCTTCTTTTTTTAAAATTTTTTATTATTTTTCCGGCCATACCTCATGGCGTGTGAGATCTTCGTTCCCCAACCAGGGATGGAACCCACACCTCTTGCAGTGGAAGCACAGAGTGTCGACCACTGGACCGCCAGGGAAGTCGCTCTTGGGATCTTCTTTAAGTTTCACTGTCCGAGAAGCTTCGCAGCATGCATGCAGCATTGTTAGATAACGCTAGTCACTGTCTTCCAGGCTTTCCTGGGGGCTCAGATGGTAAAGAATCTGCCTGGCATGCAGGAGACCTGGGTTTGACCCCTGCATCGGAAAAATCCCCTGGAGTAGGAAACGGCAACCCACTTCAGTATTCTCGCTTGGAAAATCCCATGGACATAGCAGCCTGGCGGGCGTCAGTCCATGGCACTGCAAAGAATCGGACGTGACTGAGCGACTAATACTTTCAATTTCATAGTCACTGTGTCTATGTTGTGTTCCCGGGGTTCATTTATTTTTATTTCCTTTATAACTGGGAGTTTGTCCCTTTTGACCTCCTTTACCCACTTTCCCCACCCTCCCACCCCTTGCCTCTGGCAACCAGCAGTCTCTGTTTCCATGAGTTCAGGGTTCTTTATTTGTTGTAACGTTTTCCATGTATGTGAGGTGGGACCATATTTTTCCTTCTCTCTGGCTCATCTCACTTAGCAGTTTGCCCTCTGATTCTATCCGTGTTGCTGCAAATGGTGGGATTTCCTTCTCTCTCTCTCTCTTTTTTTTTTGGCTGAATTGTATCTCTGTCTCCCTGCTTATTATACCAAGGTTATGAACCTTGATTTTTTCTCTTGAACCATGTCTCTTGAAGACCCACTGATAACGAGTTTCTCCCCTCCCCTTTCCAGCTGTGTCACGCTCCGTCGTGATGTGGGCATCGTCACTTACATCTCTTGTTTGCATCTGTCTGCACTGACCCCGTGCGTGTCCCAGAGGAGGTCAGAGCCTTCAGGGTGGGGTGCTGGGCCACAGTACCGGGGAAGAACTGGGGGCACGTGTGCCCGCAGAGGTCAGGTGCCTGGAGCGCTGGGGTCTCTCTGCCCACTTGTCCCAGGGTGGGGGGGGCATCAGCGTGCTTCCTGCCTGTGACATCTGCAGGTTGGTGACTCAGATGCGCCTAGCGTTTATCTGACTTCCTTTCTGAGCTTCACTCGTTCCAGCTTCTCCTTCTTGCATCCTTCCACCCGGGGATCGGCACCCAACCTGAGAGCCCTTGAGGACCTCTAGGTGCTGACGAGTCTACAGAGTCGTCCCAGAGCAGGACCGTCACCATTCAGGCCCCTCGCTGGGTTTGCTTCTGGGTCTCTGGGGGCTGAGGGCACTTGGCTACGGTCCCCGCCTTGAGCTCTTGTGATGGGGGCCGGGGGCCGCCCCGTTCCTCCTGGGGCGGTGCAGATAGAGCCGCGGTTCTGCTGTGACAGTTGACGGGCGTGTGCGAAGTTGGCAACAGCTCAGGCCTGAAGAGACAGCTGGACTCCAGCCCGGAGTTACGTTCACCTCCTCGATTATTTTTGGCGATGTGGGTTTTGAGAAGGGAAATCAGATGCCAACAATTTCATGGGCGTCCCAAAAGCAGCCTGTTCTGTCGAGTCAGGGAATATTTAAGTGAGGGTTCTTCCAGAGGCCCTGGGCCCCAACTCAGTCCTAGGGGAATGGTTTGAATTTGGGTTCTGGTTCGCGTCCAGGGTGCTGGGCGTGGGGGGAACATGGCGGACCCTGACCTTGCACTTGGATATGGGCCCTTTAGGGTCTGACCCCTGGAAGCACCGGGGGTGATGGCCTTCCACGCGGCCCCAGCGGCAGGAGCCGGCTGGCGGGGCACCTGGACGAGGCCCAGAGCAGCTGGAGATGGCCCCCTAGTGGCAGCAGAGGGCAGTGCCTCCAGGGCTAGTCAGCCGGCTCCAGGGTCCACCACTCCCAGGGTCCGCTCCAGGGTCCAGTCCAGGGTCTTCTCAAGGGTCCAGTACAGAGCCTGCTCCCGGGTCCACTCCAGGGTCTGCTCTGGGGCCCGCTGCAGGGTCCTGGCAGAGGAAAGCCGGTTTGGTTCCATCTCCAGGACATCCCAGCCTCGTGGACGAAGGCCTCACATGGACCCTGCGTCCCGCCAGGCCTCCCGGCCCGCCCTCCGGGCTGTCCCCAAGGGTCTCCTCATCCCCCACGCTCTGATCCCCCCTCACATTCAGCCTTTTCCTCCAAGGGAGGAAGCCGGTCCCTTCAAGGGCCCTCCCCAGCAGGGACCGCGGGGTGCAGGGAGGATGGTGGTCCTAAAGATACAGCGTGCGGGTGGGTCTCAGCCTTAGACCGCCAACATTTTCCACGCAAGAGGTTAAACACCAAGGGGATGAGAAGACAAGCTGCAGACTGAGAAAATCTTCGCAAAAGGCGCATTTGATAAAGGACAGCTGTCTAAACTATACACAGAACTCTCAATGGGAAAACGAACGACCCAACTGTTTTAAAATGGGCAAGAGGCCTGGACAGTCAGCTTGCCAAAGAAGATGGACGGAGGGCAGATGAGCCCACGGAAGGATGCGGCACCTCGTGTGTCGTCAGGGAAATGCAAATGGGAACAAGGAGGCCCCACCGCACAGCTGTCAGAATCCGGACACAGACAACACCCAGGGCTGGCAAGCGGGGAGCAACAGGTGCTCGCACCTGCTGCTGGCGGGGAGGCAGGTTGCTACAGCCACTTCAAAAGCCAGCTTGGTGGATTCTTACAAAACCGAACTGACTCTTACTGTACGATGCAGCAATCATGCTCCCTGGTATGCACCCAAAGGGGTTGCAAGTTTATGTCCTCAAAAACCTTGCACATGATCGTTTATAGCCTCCTTATTTATAATTACGGAAGTCACCTAGATGTCCTTCAGCGGGTGGAGAAGTAAAACGTACATGGGGATCATTTTCACTAAACCAGAGTGGAGTGTATGTTACAGTTGAGGGACTTACACCTCTTCGGTGAAAGAAGCCAATCGGAGAAGACTACCCACTCTGCGATTTCACCTGTTATTTCATTCTGGAAAAGGGAAAACTGTGGAGGCAGCGGAAAAGATGAGGAGTCACCCGAGGTAGGGGGGGAGGGAGTGATGAACAGGTGGAGACCGGAGGGTTTCGGGAAGTGAAAGCACTCTGTGATGCGGTGATGGTGAATGTGTGTCCTCCTGCTTTTGTTATTTATTAATATCCCAGGATCTGCATCACCAAGAGGGAGCCCCCCCTGGAAACTGTGGACTCCGGGCGCCTGCGTTGTGTCCTTGTGGGCCATCACTTGTAACGAAGCCTCCTCACTGGGGGTGGGGGACACCGATCACGGGGGGGCTGTGTCTGTGGCAGGGGAAGGGCTGTGTGGGAAAGTGTGCTTTCCACTGGTTTTGCTGTGAATCTCAAACTGCTTGAAATATAGGGTGGTTTAAAAATTAAAAACAGGAAAAAAAAAAACACCAAGGTTGAACACAAGAACAGAAGCCCCCCGAAGGAGTTACAAGGAGATGCTTCTCCTCCCTGGGGCGTGACTTCGTGCCTCTCACTGGTAGCCTCTCTCCTAGAGCCTCTCCAGGCTAATACGCGCCTGTGAGCGTACATCTCGGCACTCAGCCTCTCCAGGCCGATATGCGCCCGTGCGCGTACACCTCGGCACGCAGCCACTTCAGGCTGACATGCGCCCGTGCGCATACATCTCAGCACTCAGCCACTTCAGGCTGATACGCGCCCGTGTGCGTACATCTCAGCACTCAGCCACTCCCAGCTAATACTTTCCAGGCTAATACGCGGCTGTGCGCGTACATCTCGGCACTCAGCCTCTCCCAGCTAATACTTTCCAGGCTAATATGCGCCCGTGCGCGTACATCTCGGCACTCAGCCTTTCCAGATTGATACACGCCCGTGCGCATACATCTCGGCACTCAGCCTCTCCGGGGTAATACGCGCCCGTACGCGTACATCTCAGCACTCAGCCACTCCTGGCTAATACTTTCCAGGCTAATATGCGCCTGTGCGCATACATTCGGCACTCAGCCTCTCCAGGCCAATACGCGCCCGTGCGTGTACAACTCGGCACTCAGCCTCTCCAGGCCGATATGCGCCCGTGCGCGTACATCTCGGCACGCAGCCACTTGAGGCTGACATGCGCCCGTGCGCATACATCTCGGCACGCAGCCTCTCCAGGCCGATACGCGCCCGTGCGTACTTCTCAGCTGCTTCCATGAGTGTCCCCCCAGGTAGCGTGTTTTAGGTGGCCTCACAGCAGCTGTAGCGTAGTCACACTGAGACACGTGAACCGGAGGCCCCTGCCCAGTCCCCCTCACAGGCCGGTGAGTCGTTGTGTCTGGCCCTCCGGCCCTTCTCGCCTCTCCCCTCCTCCCCCCTGCCAGCTGGCCCGCCCCCTAAACGCCAGCCTGGCGCCGTGTTTGTCCTCTTGGGGGCAGCCACCGCTCAGGGAAGAGGCGGCCCAGCCCCGGAGCAGCTGCAGCCGCCCTGGGCCCTGTGCTCTACATCCAGGGCAGGCCTGGCGGCCTTTGAAGGGACAGTGGCTTGGGGACCAGCCTTCCCCCAAGAGGAGACTCCGGCATGACTCTGCTTCAGCTCGGGTCTCTCCCGCCTCTCCGGGGGGCGTCCGGGGGCCCCGCGGGCCTGGCTTCAGGGACACGGCCTTCGGGCTCGATCCCCTGAGTACAAGCGGCAGTGGACGCGTAGCGGCAGCCCCTGTGGGCGGGACCCTGTGCTCTGCTGGGGGGCGCGGAGCCCGCGCAACGGGGTCCTTGCTGCGAGGGCTGGACTGGGTGGACGGGTTGCACCCGAGCGCCGTGGCTGGGGGCAGTCAGAAGGCGGGCGGTTGGCTGGGGTGGTCCTCACGCAGGAGGAAGGGCAGGTGGAGGCGGGGGTCCGGGGGTGCGGCGTGAGCAGGAGGGGCGCGGCCTGGCCCCGACCGCCGTCCCTGCACCGGCAGGACAGAGCTGCCGCCGGTTATCTGGCCTCTCGGGGCTGCAGGCCCATCCCGCGTCGTGCTGGTATTTTTCATCCTTTCTCTCTCGCTCTCATTTTTTTTTTAAATAAAAATAACTATGAAGGGTCCAAGACGCCTTTCTTTCTCGACATCCCAGCCCTTAGGTCCCAGCAGCGCATCGGTGGCAAAGAATGTCCCCTGTCACCGCGGCCGCTCGCCTTTATTTGAAGTGTCTGGCTGAGCTATCTCCCCGTGACATGCTTCTTTCAGAGCGAATTATTCATGGGGCCCGGCCCCCCCTGCCTCCCCCCACCACCCGGCCGCTCGGTCCTCCCGCAGGTGTGAAGACAGGCCCAGCCTTTGTGCCGAGGATGCCGCCCCCCTACGCTCCCCCCTGGAGCCGGTCCAGGCCTGTCAAGGCTCCCGCGCTGCCGGGCATGCGGGGCTGACGGCTCCTGTCATCCCGGGAGGGCCGCACGGGGTCCCCCGCCTGCCCGACTCCCCTCCACCAGGGGCAGCCCCATCACTTGGGGGCAGTGGGCATGTGTTGGTGTGGCCACCTCGCCTCAAGTTGGGGGAGCCGGCCGGGAAGGGGCCGGGGACCGTCCAGGGCCCCCAGTCGGGGTGTCGAGCCTCCGCTGAGAAGAGCTGATGGCTGAGCGCAGAGCCGAGCAGGGCAGGGGGGCCAGTCCCGGCAGAGCCAGCTGGCGGTCAGTGCGGGCTCCCAGCGACGGTCTCAGGCCATCCCAGCAACGGGAAAATGGCCCCTGGAAACAGGTCAGCATCCCCCGCCTCCTCTGGACCCCTGAGCGCTTCCTCCGCTTCTCTGGAGACATGGGGACACTTTGATCCAGTAGGACCACAGCGGGCACATGGGGACTGGCTGGCGCCCGTGGTCCGCTGGCCCACCTCTCTGGCCTCTGACTGCCGCTCTGTCCCTTGGCGGGGAGCTGCTGCGGGGGGCGGGGGGGGCGTGCAGAGAGACTGAGGGGCCACCGTGCGTGCTGGAGGTGTGCGTTCTTGTCACTAGTCCGGGGTGGCGACCTGCTCTGACCTGCTGCTCACTAAGGCGGGAGCGCCAGGGGGTCCATGTGGAGGTCAGGCCACACGGGCAGCTGCTCTAGGGTCGCCACAGGCTCTCCTTGCGCGCCCCCCGGCCCCCTGCTTACCCCCAGCTGGTGCTGCCCCTCGGGGTGCCTTGCCCGGACCCTGGAGGCGTCTGAGTTTGCAGGAGAGCCCTGAGGCCTGGGACAGGCTTGTGATTGAACCCAGCGCTTGTCTCTACGACCTGGGTGGTGGCCTCTCTGAACCTCGGTCCTTTGCCAGATGGGACCCCCATGCCCTCCTAGTGAGGCGCAGAGGGGCGTGTGTGCGTCCCCCCACTGCACCCGGCACAGGAGCAGCTCCCCTGAAGGAGGACGACGCGGCCCTGATGTTTGGGGGTCCTTGCTTATTGCTGGGCCAGCGTGCCATGCCGTCAGGCCCACAAGCTCCCAGCCCCCGCCGCAGCCCAGCCAGGTCCAGGGTGCCACGGGCCTGCGAGACAGACGGGGTCCCCTCCTGAAAGCCCCTGGGTCCGGAAGCAGGCCTCTGAGCAGGAAAACAGACGCTGGCACGCTGCCCCCGAGGTCCCGCCGTCAAGGCAGTCACCGGAGCGCTCAGGGCCGCAGGCGGCAGGAAGCCGTTCCCCGCACACACACCTGCGCCCTGGTGAGCGCTTGGCGTTGTCCTCCACCCGGAGCTGAGCGGGGGCCCCTTCTCTCTCAGGAGCCTCCAGCTCCACCTGGAATGGAGCCCACGAAACCTTCCGTCCTCCCGACGCGCCCTTTCCCGGGGACGGAGACCCTGGATGACACGCGTTGAATAAGCTCCCTTCGGCGCAGGCTCCACAACGCATGCTCAGAAAGGCCCCCCTCTGGGCACAGGACCTGGGCCGGCACCGGCCGGTCACCCACAGGTCTCTCCTACCAACTCTCATCCACACAGGGTGGGTCACGGCTTGCGTGCACCCCACCCGGGCACCCCGGTGCAGGCAGGCACCCAGGGGATGTGCCCACAGGCCAGTTCAAGCATCGGCACTTAAGGACAGGTACAGGCTGGCATCACCCAGCAAGGAAGGGACTTCTGACCCCAGAGGGAGTCCTTGCTCAAGCAAGACTCTGAGCGGCATCGTTTTCTTAGGCCAAGTGAGGTTGGGTCAAGGCCGGCTCCCCTAAGTGGAAGCTGTGCAGTTCCCGTAGACTGGAGCCGGGCCAGGCCCCTCCTGGAACCTCCCAGGCCCACGATCGGCCTGCAGTTGGGCTGTAACAGACAGTTAGCTTTAGGAGTATGGTTGTGTACTCCGGCACCCGCCAGGGTGCTAACACCCATTCTGCCCCGGGGAGACACTGGGTATACGATCGCTGTGTCTGATCACTGCGTCTTTTCCGGAAAAACAGCACGGTGCCCTCTTAGAGACGGGGAGGAAGCAGGCCGCTGTCTGGAGGGCCTGGGAGGTCCATTCCAAAAGGCCTGAGCAGGAATCAGGCCTGAGGGCCGCTTCCATTTTCCCGCAGGATATCTGAACTGTGAGCGAGGCTCAGGAGGCTGCCCGGAGCCGCAGGACAAGGCGCTGGGTGGACAGGCCTCCCCAGCCGGGCCGGCCCTGCGGCCACTGGCTCCTCGGCGCGCAGGGCTGGAGAACTGTCCTGGGGCCTGGGGCTGTGGAGGAGCGGGTGAAGCTGCTCCCAGGCCTCAGAAGCGGGGCTTCCATTCCCTTCTCCGGGTCGCGTCCCCACGGCCAGCTCCTCCCGCGCTCAGCCCGGGGCGAGGCGGGGGTGGGGCCCCAGGCGCAGGGCCGCCCTTCCCGGGCCCCGCCCCCTCCGGGAAGAACCGCGATGAACCTCTGTGTCTCTCTCTTTTCTCCGATTGGCCGTCGGAATCAAAGAGCCCTCCGGTGACTCAGGCGTTTCCCATTGCCCTATTGAGCATCCTCTACCCTCAGCACCGAGAGTGTTTCACGTCCTATTTGGAACTGATAGGAAACCCTTTCATTGTTTCACTACATGGATATTAGCGCTGATGAAGGAAGCGCTCCATCAGATAATCGGCGGCTGCAGGGAGCTGCTTTCCAGCGTCCGGGCCCCTGCCTCATCGCGCCCCGCGCCCCGCGCCCCCGACGCCAGCCGCGGCCCCGGGCACCCCCGGCCGGGAGGAGGGGCCCTGGCAGCAGGGCAGCGCCAGCCCCGCCCCCCGCGGCCGGGTGAAGCGGGGCCTCGTCCCCACCCCCCCATTAGAGAGGGGTGATGGTCCCCCAGTGCCCACCGGGCCGGGACCGCTCGGCCCCCTGCAGACGCTTCCTGCCCTCGCCCCCACCCGGGCCAGGTTCCCGCTGCGGTCTTCCGAGGCATGCCGCACCCCAAGATCCCTCCCAGCGGCCGCCCTTTGATCTACTTTTCACTTTCTACGCTGAACCAAGGGGTCAGTCGCTAACAAGTTGTTGGAAGAACCTTTGCCTGACCACGACTTTCTAGCTGGATGCGTTGTGTGCCAGCTAGATATGTGCAGATGCCGTGACTGAAGCTTGACGCTCCCAGCGAACCGTCTACCGCGCCCTCCCCCCACCGCCCACGGTCTCCCCTACCCCCAGGTTGAGGGCCTGACCTCACAGACGCTCAGTAAAAACGCGCGTGAGTGAATGCTTTTCACCTTCCTTCCCCCAGTTAGAGATGAGGCTCTCAGAGCCAGAGGGGGTCAGCGATTTTTCCAAAACACACAGCAGGACCTGAGCCCCAGCTGAGCCTCCTCTTTCTGGGAGAGGCCGCGCCAGGGCTGAGACTGGGGCAGAGCCGGGCGGGGAGAGGAGCCGGTCTCCCCTGGGTCTGCTTCGGTCTCTGAGAGAAGGCCTACTCCGTGACAACCTCTGCTCATTTCTCAGGGCTACAGTGTGAGCCACATCCTGGTCCCCGGTGGAAGGTGCTTCCCCCCAGGAACCCGGCGCACGCGGGGCAGAGCCGTCTGGGCGAGAGCGGCCGGGGAGGGCTGCCCCGTGGGCTGCTCCTCTGGTCTCTGCTGCCCCCGGAGTCCCAGCCTCAGTACCAGGTGTGGGGGGTGTGTGTGTGTGCGCGCCCGGCATCATCGCGGCCCTCAAAATCAGCTCTGCACGTGCAGGCGTGTCTGTGCCCGGAGCAGAGGTGGGACTCTGAGGCCCAGGGAGGCTGATGCCCGCAGACCTTCCATCCGCACACCGGGGCTCGCAGGTGCCCGGACCCCCAGCAGCCCAGGGGCCGGGGGAGGCTTGGGTAGCGGGTGATGGACGGTGGCCGCACCCTCCATGCGGGACCCTCAAGGTGGCGGGAAGGCTGCTCAGGGCCACGGGGGCAGGACGCGGGCCCACGCCACGGCCTGCAGGGGGCCAGCCGTCGGGCACCGTTCGGGCATGTTCCTCGGGCTCTCGCTGGCGGAGGGCTGGCTCTGGGGCTGGTCCCGGCGTGGACATTCGGCTGTGCTGTTCCGGGCCAGCGCGTCCCCCGCTGGCTGTGGTGGAGATGAATGGACGCCCACCTTCTCCGTGTTGAGTGATGATTGCGCCTGAGCCCCCACCCTGGTCTCCGTCAGAGTCAGGCCTGGGGGTCCTGCGGGCGTGGTGGCCGCCAGGCTCGGGGCCTCCTCGGGCGCCCGCGGCCATCTACAACTTGTTTATGTGGGAAAGCGGTTCCGCCATCCAAACAACAGCCTTACGAAGGAATTTCAGGAACACAATTAGTTCATAAATTGAGAACTTCCTGTCTTTGTTGGGCTGGGGGTTGGGCACAGTGGCTGGTCTCCAGCCCCGAGAGACTCAGTAGGTTCAGGGGCCTGGGGCCAGGAGAGCTGCACGCCAGCCCACCCTGAGCACGGCTGTTCTGTTATTATTATTATTGCTGTTATTGTGGTTTCGTGCGGAGGCCAATCTGCGTGGCTCAGGCCGCAGAGCCGGGCCCAGAGCGTTGTAGGGGGTGACTTCTGCGGTAAAGGCTCGCTGGTCCATCAAGGCTTAGCCCCACGTGAAGCCCTGTGCCTCGGCATGTTCAAGCAGAGGCTGGTGAAGAGTCGGACGCGGGGCAGCTGGACTCCCAGGAGTCAGGCCCGAGGCCGCATGGACGGTGCGGGAGGCGGGCAGCAGCGGCCAGGCCCTGCCTCAGGGGCTGCGGCTTTGGGCCGGGCGGGCAGGCCCTCAGAGTGTCCCCTTCTTCCTTTTGTAACATGAAGGGTCACTGAGAGCTCCCAGCGGCAATGCCAACACCAGGTTCCTCTGGCTGTTGGGGCGGGAACTAGAAATGGTGTTTGTGTCGGTGGACAGTGGGTCAGGATGGCGGCGTGGAGAAGAGACCTTGAGAGAGGCTGAATGGAGGGAAGTGGCTAAAATATTGACCAAGATTTTTCTCGAGACCCTAGAGTGTCAACTGCAAATAAACCCCTGCTTCGGTGAGCGCTGAGGATAGGGGCAGACAGGCTGAGCTGGGCGCTGGGGGCTGGCCTGAGTCTCTCTTCTCCAGGGTCAGCCTTCTGCATCAGCCCTTCCCTGGCATTCTGACGCAGGGGTTTGGCTGTCAAACCCCCTGTAGGGATGTTGTCCTAACCAACGGCTTGGTTTTGGATCCCTGGTTCCCTCTAGGCAGGACACGCTGCTGCCAAGCTGAGCGCTGTTTCTGGCTTGCCTACCAGCTCAGGGTGCAGTGGTAGCTGAGGTTTGCAGGAGTTGAACACATCGGCTTAGCAATCTGTGTGCGTTTGTAAACAGAAGTCTGCGTTTCGCATTTTGGCAGGTGGTCGCCAGCTCCGCTCTTTCTGCAGTCTGCCTCCGAGAGTCCCTACTGACGGCCCTCCCCCCTCAGACTTTCACCAGTGGAAGGGAACGCTCTGCGATGTAAAATAAGGTGCTCCTTCTCCTGGGGGGCCGGAAGCCATGACTTTTTCCTTTGAAAACTCCGGCAACACTTCTGCTGCTATGTAAAGATGCCTGAGTGGCAGGTACCCCCTTCCCTTGAGGACACTTAGAAAAGCTGGCCAACACCACAGCAGACAGAAGCCCCAGCATAAACGCACTGGAGAGCTGAGAGCAGCGAAGGGCCGCTGGGCCGGGAGCCTAGTGTGAAGTCAAAGTTCCGGAAGCGTGAGTTCAGCGCTCGGGATCACCCTTTCCTTGAGGAGCAGGTGCCGCCGGGGGGTGCGGGCTGAGGTGGGGCAGGGTTGCTGGAGCTGGTGGGGGGCCCTGAAGCCGCACCCCCTCACCCCACCCCTCAGGGACCGAGGCCTTGTCGGAGCGGCCGTTCGGTCTACCGTGACCTCAGCTCCCAAGACTAGATTTAGAATTTAGGGTCTAAGGCAGTAGAGAGCCTTTTTGGATGTATTTAATATGTGTGAAGATATTTAATACGTGTAAAGACATTTAATACATTTAAATATCTCTCTGAAGGAAGATTGCTGCACTTGAGGCCTCAAATTATTTGTACCAACAACGTTTGAAATTTTAACAGCAAGCACCCAGTGAAAGGAACCAGGCAGACAGAAACAAGGCCATATGAGTGGAAACCAAGGGAAGCAACGGACAACAGGCCGTGGACGAGGAGAAAAACCCGGAACCTCAGAAAGAGTGCCGAGCAAGCAGAAGAGGCTCGGGAGGGGTAAGAGATTCAGACACCAGGATTGGAGAACTTGACCTGATGGACACACGGCTACTTTAGAAAACACTCTTTTCAAGCACATGTTGGAAGTTTACCGAAAATGTGCTCCTAGTAGGAAGCAAGTCTCAAGAAGTTTCATTCAAAGGATTGGAATATTACAGGACATGTTCTCTGACCGCAATATATTGAAGTTAGAAATATTGATTTAAAAATCGCTAAAAATAACTATTTTTTAAAAGATGAAATGTTATGCATTTGTTACATAGATACTAATATAGTTGAAATGTTATTAATTTTTTTTAGTTGAAATGTTATTAATGCTTACAGTAGACAAGTTCTGAGTTTTGCACTAAATACTGTATCCTGAAACAATCTAAAGATTATGGAGACGTACTTGAGTGTGACACTTTAAATCTGACTAAAATTTCCAGATGTTAACTATGCACAAGATTCGAGGAGAAATTCCATCAAAAAGAAAGAAGCTGAAGAAAAACGTGGATGCAGGTAAAAATGAGTCAGCTTGGGGTCAAACCAGTGGTTTCTTTGAGTACTTCCTCTCTCAGCCTCTCAATTTAAGAAAATTTAAAAAAAGAAAAGAAAATTAAGTGACTTTTGCTTTAAAAATTAAGCAAAACAGCATCAACAATAAAAACCAAATTCCAAACCATAACGGCCAAAGGGAAAAAACACTGTGGCCATTAAAAAATGTATTTTGAGAGAATGATATATACAATACCAAACATAAAACTGTGTGGAATGCAGTTACAGTCATACTTAGAGGGAAAATTATAGCCTTAATACATATATTAGAAAAAAGGGGGAAGATTGAAAATAACGGAGGTAAGTGGTCCTTTCTCTTCCTTCCTCTGGTTTTTAAAGTTGCATTGGGAGAACGTGATGTTACAAAAGGGTATGAGGTCATGCTGTTTCTGAAACTCGCCTGAACGAAGGCTAACAATTCTGCCTGACAAAATGTGACACACATCCCCGCAGAAGTCTTCATCCAGTTTGACATGTCAACAGCATTTAATATGAGGGTCACTCTTCCGTTCTTCTAATTCTTTCTCGGGACTCTTTCTTCACTTGGTTTCCAGGCAGTGCTGAGCAGGAGCCAGTTCATATCAGCTTGCAAGAGTTGATTGCGTGCCAGCAACCTGCTCAGTGACACCACAGTGATACTCAGAACGAACCTCGGTGGGAGCGTTTCACCATCGAAACTGTAAAACTGCAAGTCGGCGCATCTGTCTGTGGACAGATCAACCCATCTATCCATACGTCTGTCTATCGTCTACTGATCTACTTACTGTCTATCATCTATTTATCATCTATCTGTAGTGTGTTATCTATCATCTATCTGTAGCGTGTTATCCATCTGTCTATCATCTTCTGTCGTTGTCCAGTCACTAAGTCGTGTCCGAGTCTTTGCAACGACAGCCTTCCCTGTCCTTCACCATCTCCCGGAGCTTACTCAAACTCATGTCCATCAAGTCGGTGATGCCATCCAACTATCTCATCCTCTGTTGCCCCCATCTCCTCCCACCTTCAATCTTCCCCAGCATCAGGGTCTTTTCTAATGAGTTGACTCTGCATCAGGGGGGCAAAGTACTGGAGCTTCAGCTTCAGCATCAGTCCTTCCAGAGAATATTCAAGGTTGATTTCCTTTAGGATGGACTGGTTGGATCTCCTTGCTGTCCAAGGGACTCTCAAGAGTCTTCTCCAGCACCGTAGCTCAAAAGCATGCATTCTTTGCCTCACAGCCTTCTTTACGGTCCAACCCTCACATCCGTGCGTGGCCACTGGAAAAACCAGGGCCTAGACTACATGGACCTTTGTCCACAAAGTGATGTTTCTGCTGTTTAGTCCGCTGTCTAGGCTTGTCATCATCCGTCTCTCTACCATCTGTAGTCTGTCTGTCTGCCTGTCTGTCACCTACCGTCAGCGGGCAGGCTCACCAGCTCTGGCAGCCCACTCCTTCCTCGCCTTTGCTGGCTGATGGGAATCAGTCCTCCTCACTCTGGAATGCTGAACCTCAGACTCAGTCCTCAGACCTCTCCTCCGTCTCCTCCCTCCCTTGGGGATCTCACTCGTTCTCGTGTCTGTATACACCACATGCACGCCGGCGAATGGTCCCCACCCCTGACCTCACCCCAGCTCCAGACTCGTGGACCCCTCTGGGACTCCACGCCTGGGGACAGGCTGGACTTGCAGGGCCCGGCAGACATCCCGGCGGCGTGGGTGATGACGTCCCTGCCCAATGCGGGGGATGGAGCTGCCGCCAGCCTGCAAGGGAGGAGCGGGGTGGAAGGCAGGAGAGAGGCAGCTGCCACGTGGGGCCCTCACGGTGCCCTGAGGAGAACTGAGGCTGAGGTCGGGATGTAGCTCTGCAGGTGTGGGACGGGGCCTCAAGGGCGGGAGAGAGTTTAGGTGTGTGACAGTGGACGTGGATGTCTGTCTAAAGGGCTCAGCGTAAGATTTAAAAAGTGGCAGTGATGTAGAAGCTTTCTTTTAAAATACCTTTTTTTTTTTTCTTTTTTGGCTGTGCCACGTGGCTCATGAGATCATAGTTCCCCGACCAGAGATCAAAACTGCACGCCCTGCAGTGGAAGGGCAGAGTCGTCACCACTGGACTGTCAGGGAACTCCTGACATAGCGTTGTTTTTAACAGCCGCAAAGTACAAGCTACCCAAATGCCCATCAGTAAGTTAACAAAAGCATTATGGTGGTGGGACAAGCCTGGTGGGTCAGCGGCTGAGGCCCTGCCTCCCAGGGCCAGGGTTTGATCCCTGGTCAGTGAGCTAGGCTCTGCTAGGCCTCATGGCCAAAAACACCAAACTGTAAAACAGAAACAGTATTGCGACAAATTCAACAAAAGACTTCAAGAAAAAAAAAAAAGGAAGTGCTTCACATCAAAAACAATCTTTAAAAAACAAAAGGCCACACACACACACAAAAGCATTATGTTGTATCACAAGATGAAATAGTACAGAGCATGAATCTATTGGCTGGAGCCATAGCAGTGATCTTGTGACCATGAGGAAAGAGAAACAGAATTTATTAGCCCAAGCATGGTTCAGCCACTGAACACTTCGGATTTCTCATTATGTGAAAAGAATAAGTTCCTATCTGCTTAAGTTGCTGAGATGTTTTTCGTGTCAGAACACAATCCAGGTTGTACCCCAGGCTGTCATCGGCTTAGGCCCCATCACGGTCTTCCTAAAACAAGCATGACTGTGCCCCTCTTTGGCTGGAGACGCCCACCTGGGAGATGGCGTTTTCCTCTTATCAGACGAGCAAGGATGAACAAGGAGCAGAAGCTTCCGCGTCTGTGGAAGAGGTGTGTGGACAGGGCTGAGCGTCTGCCGCTGGAGGGCCATCCACGGGCGCCATGCCTGGGAGAGATGGGCAGTGGCTTTCCCAAGTAAAGATGCTCACCGGCCTCTTGCCAGCCCCTCAGGGTGGACACAGCCCAGCTCCCCACACCTGGCCCCAGCCAGGGCTGCAGTCCTGTGACTGGGGAGGCCGGGCCCGCGGGCGGTGGGGCCCGGTCCAGCCGCGGCCAGTGCTGCCGTGACCGCTGCCGTGGCTTCCACTCAGCTGGACGGGCTGCCTGACGGTGGTGGAGCTCAGGCCCACCTCGCCCGCCTGCCCGCCCGCCGCACCCGGCGGCAGGAAGCATTCCCAGAGCACCTGTTTCCTGAGGACCCCGCAGGGGCTCCCGGGCACCATCTGGGCGCTGCCCCGCATGCTGTTTGCATTAGGAGTTTAGAAAAACAATTCGGCATACACTAATCACTCTCTAATTTTTTCAGGCGCATCCCAAAGTCTCATCCCTGCCCCCGCCCTCTTTCCTTGTCAGCGCTTCCGGGAGTCCCTGGGCTGCCATGCACACCCAGCACACTCACACACACACTCACCCCAACTTCATATACACACCCACTCACTACCCGCCTCCACATCCACAGCACACTCACACACACACTCATAACCCAACTTCATATACACACCCACTCACTACCCGCCTCCACATCCACAGCACACTCACACACACACTCATAACCCAACTTCATATACATACTCACACACCACCCACTCACACATCCGCTCACTTGCACATGCACATGTGCAATGCACTCATAGTTTACATTCACACACACACACACACACACAGACGCCTCGCCCTTGAACACTTCTGGAAAAAGACTTCTTAAGAGGGGACCCTTAGGAGTGGCAGGGGTGGTCAGCAGAGGGCGTTGGTCCTCAGGACCCAGTGTGCACAGTGGGTTAGGAGCCAGGCCCTGAGGCAGACGCTGGGCTGAACCCCAGGTCTGCAGCCGTCCCCGTCTGGCCAAGCTGCCCACCTGTCCAGGCCCCGGGCCCGCCTCTGGTAAGCGGAGCAGTGGCCCTGGCACCTCTGTGCAGGCCATGTGTGGAGGGTAGTGCTGGGAGCAAAGCAGCGTGTGCATTTCGTTTAAAACATTCCCACAAATCAAAGTAACATCAAAACTCATGCTGAAATCTGGATTTTCCTGCAGACTTTTCTGATTGCATAATTCTGAATCAGTCCCTGAAGCCGAATGTTTGTCCCCTCGCGGGGCCTGAGGCCTTCCATGCCGCAGAGGATGCAGAAGGACCGCAGAGGGTGCCGAAGCGCAGAGGTTAAGTTGCTTTTCTGATGGTGCCGTCTGCCAGGTTTGTGCCAGGTCTGCCGGTTCTGTGCCGTGCCCGGCAGGTTGGTGTGGGGGGCGGTCACAGCCGGGATGGGGCGGGGGGGGCTTCGTGAGGAAGGGAGCAGGACGCATGGACTTTGTTGCAGGCATTTGGTGTGCCTGCAGGAAACAGGGGGGCCTTGCAGAGCCCACTAGCGCAGCTACACACCTGTCTGGCTGGACGGGGCCCAGGCTCCAGGCAGCTCCAGGGCAGGGGGCCCAGGAATGGTGGTGAAGCCTTGGTGTGTGGGGGGAGAGCATGCCTGGTAGTGGGCGGGCAGGCACCGAGGGGCAGTGCCCAGCCGCCCCCCCCCAACCCCCCCCACCCCCGAGGGCTTCCTGGGGCGGAGCTCCGGTCGCCTGGGCCTCAGGGCCCTAAGCGGAGCTGCCGTCTGAGAACAAAGCGTCCTGCAGGAATTCCGGCCGCGTCCTGGAGCCTGGCGCCCTGCCCTGCCCTGCCCCCACCCACCTCGCCCCCACCCCCTCCCCACCTCGAGGGCCAGTTCCCAGTTCGGGGGCGTGGAGGTCGCCATCAGCACGTAAGACGGGGCACCTGGGCCCGCCCGGGCTTCCACAGCTGCTCCAATGCACACTCACCTCTTCCCTTCCGGCCTCAGAAGTGCCGGCGAGGGCGGGGGAGGGGAGCTTCCTGGCCTGGCGGACCTAGACTCCCAGACTGTTGCAGCCAGAAGGTTTCCTTCCTGAAAAAGCACAGCAGCCCCTGCTTTCCGTCCCTCTTTCTCTCTGGAGAGAGCCGCCCCCCGCCCCCCGCTCGGCCCCCAGCTGCAGGCCTAGCCCCCCTGGACGACTGGCCCGTGGCGCGGGGGTGAGCGGGCTTCGCAGTAGCCCACGGGCCAGCATGCGGCCCATCATGCGGTCCTGGGGCAGGCAGCAAGGCCTGTCCTCTCGCCAGCAGGCAGCCGCCACCTGCAGTCTCTCTGGGGCAGGTGCCATGACTGCAAACAGCCTGCCTGGTGACTCAGAGCCCAGAGCTCCCTAAGACCACCTGGCCCGGGTTTCTCAGCGGCCGGTGCTGGCCTCTCTCCCTCCCTCCCCCTCACCAGTCCGTCCATCATCAAACCCTGCTGGCTCACCTTCCCCAGAAGTAGCTTTGTTTGGAGAAAGCCTTCCCTCCCCGCCCCTCCCCTCTGACCTCAGCTCCCGCCCAGGGTGCAGTGGCCCCTCCTGCTCCTCACACCCACAGCAGTGGGTTCAGACGTGGACATGACCCAAAGTTGACCAGACAGCCTGGTTTCCTGATGAAAGGGCTGGAACCGCAGCAGCCACCTCTCCACCAGGAGGAAAGAGTTGCCGTCACAGGAGGTGAAGCAAGCAGGGAAGTGGGGAGAAGGCCGCTGAGCGGGATAGCAGGGATACAGCGGCACCTGCTGTATCTGATCCGTCCACCTGGATCGCAGGCAGCAGAGAACAGCGTCCCTGGACGTGTCTGCTGGGTAGCCTCGCTCCCGGGGGCTCAGACACCAGCGGAGCCAGGCCCTCCCCTTCCCCGATGGGTCCTCTCTGCGCAGGTCTCGGCAGGGGGACGGACGGCCCTCCCCTCCCCGCAGCCCAGGCCCTGCTCTCCCAGGCCCACAGCCTCGCCCAGCGCTGCCCACCTGGGGCCCCGCCTCGCCCGCGTGGACCCCCTGGGCTGACTGCTGTGCGGGGGAGGGGTCGGGCCCCGATCCGACTGCAGGCTGCAGCTCCAGAGGCACTCACCGACCGCTGGCCGAGTGGACGGGTGGACGCGGGGCTGAGCCCCAGGCGTCCAGAGGAGACGGACGGTGGAGGCCGGAGGCTGGTCCCTGTGTCTGGGTGGGTGTGCAGGGCCCCGGGCCAGGAGACCAGGGACCTGGGTCACACTGGGCTGCGGGTGGGCTGGGCTGTCGTGACGAGCCCTGAGCGGCGTCCCTTTGGTGTTTGGAAGAAGACGTGGGCTTGTGTGTGGGCTCGCGTGTTGGGGGCACGTGGGGGCCACGGCCAGCTGCCCCCAGGTCTGTTCCGTGATTTCTCAGTCACAGGACGTGCAGAGAAGATGACCGCGCGCTAAGGGACGTCCCTGCAGGTGGGCATGGCGCCTGGTAGGTCAGGGGCGTCTCCTGTCCCCTCCCCACGTCCTGATGCTGGATGCTGGCCGTGGGGGTGTCTGGCTCAGGCAGAGAGAGCCGGGTCTCTGATGTGTGGACCTGCTTTGTGGGTCCCAAGGCCCCTGCCCACACGGCAGGGGGTTCTCTGCCCCAGGGTCCCTGCGGCCTGACCTCACCCCTGACCGTGGGCCCCTCACCACGTCCCCTCGGGCGAGAGGTGTGGCTCCCGGGGCAGGATGGCCCTGGGGCGTCGGGGGCCCAGGTGCGCCGGGCGCTGCCCTCTCCTCCTGTCTATCAACCCCCCAGCCCGAGGCCTGCAGAGGAGCCACCTCCTGCCTGCCTCCCCCACCCCTGCATGTGCCAGGAAGTGCCGCGGATTCCCCGGCTCTGACGGGCAGGGCAGCTGCCCTGCGTGGGGAGGCCCGAGGCTGCTGGCCCGGCCTGTCCAGGCTGCCCTTCCAGAAACTTCCAGCCCCTTCCTGCCTGGCGTCCTGCCCGAGGCCTTCCTGGAAGCCGGGCCCACCCCGCCCCCCAGCCCAGGCCGCCGTTCTTTCCACGTGTGAATCAGCCGAGCTCTCCCAGCATCACTTTCCTCCTGCTGAGAAGTTCTCACTGGTGGGTGCCCGCATCAGCCTGAGTCCCCTGCGGAAGGACCTGCGTGACGGGGCATGGACGGTGGACCAGGCAGGCACGAGGTGACGGAAATTAGAGCCATCGTCGCATGCTGTGGGGTTTACAACCTTTACGGATGTAGTGTGTTTAAAATAGAAGACCTGGGGCTGGGGAAGACTGAAGGCAAGAGGAGAGGGAGGCAGAGGATAGGGTGGCATCCCTGGCTCGATGGACATGAGTCTGGAAGCCTGGCGTGCTGCAGTCCATGGGACATGACTTAGCACCTGAACAACAGCAATGAGTTTAATATAATACTGTAAAAGGAAGAAAACGGAGCGTTATATGAGTAGTGTTTCTATACATCACGAACTAAGTTAGTTTAAATATGAAGCTCTTGGTAAGCCTTAGAGCAGCCTACTGGGGAAATACCTCCAAACGATGTAGTGAACAACCGTTAAAGAAATTCAAACGCCGCCTTCACTTAACACAGACGAGAGCAGTGAAGGAGCAGAGGAACAAAAGAACAGGATACACACAGAGAAGACAGGAGTAAGAAAAGAAAAGCCACAGAGACAGACAGCGAAGCCAAAAGCGGGGTCTTTAAAAAAAATCCAAGAAACCCGGTAAACTTGCAGCTCGATTGAGACAAAGTGAGAAAAGATTAAAATGACTAGAATCAGGAAGGACAGAGACACTACTACTGACCTTACAGAAATAAAAAGGATTATAAAGGCACCCTGTAAGCAACAGTGTGATAATAAACTAGGTAACTCAGATGAAATGAACAAATTCCTAGAAAGACACAGAATACCAAAACTGACTCAAGAATGAATAGACAATTTGACTAGGCCTTTGTAGTATGTGAAGAGATTGAATTATAATAATTCTTTAAAAATTACCCACAAAGAGAGGCAGCCCAGGGCCAGGTGGCTTCATTGGTGATTTCTACCAAACATTTAAAGAATGATTAATATTAACACCAGTTCCTCACAAAATCTTCCAAAAATAGAAGAGAACGGACCACTTCCCAACTCATTCTGTGAGGCCAGCCATCACCCTGATGCCAAAAGTGGACAAAAACCTGACGTGAAAAGGAAACTACAGACCTGTATCTCATACAAATGTGGATGCAGAAATCCTAGGTGAAACGGTAGCAGCCTGGATCCAGCAACATGTGTGAAAGAATTATACACATGGCCGAGCTGGATTCGCCCAAATTTGGTTTGACATCTGAAAATCAATCAGTGGAATGCGCCGTGTCAACAGAGTGAAGGACAGAGCACACGTGGTCATCTCAGTAGACGCAGAGAGGGTTTGATAAAACGCAGCGCCCTTCCGTGGTAAAAAAAAGAAAGCACTAAAAAAGGCTGGAATGGAAGGGAACTTCCTCGAGCTGATACAGGGCATCTTTGAAACCACATCACTAACATTATACTTAATAGTGACACGCCAGATGCTTTCCCTTCAACTACGGGAACAAGACAAGAAGGTTCACCCCTGCCACTTCAACTCAGCATTGTTCCAGAGGGTCGACCCCGGGCAGCTGGACAACTGAATGAAATAACGCGCATCCCCATCGGAAAGGAAGAAGTAGAAATTATCTCGATTCACAGATGAAATGATGCTGCATGTAGAAAATCCTGAGGAGACCACGCAGAGACTATGAGCTCTAACAAACAAATTCTGCAAACTTGCAGGATACAAGATTAATACACAGAAATCAGTTGTACTCTTATACACTTAGAAAGGATAATCTGAGAATGAAATTGAGCAAACGGTTCAACGAGCAACAGCACTAAAAAGAATAAAAGACTCAGCAACACATTTAACAAGTGCGTGGTTTATACTCTGAAAACTGTGATACGTGGATGAAAGAAACTACAGTCCAAATAAATGGGAAGACACTCCATATTCGTGGATTGGAAGACTTAGTATTGTTTTCCTGGTGGCTCAGCTGGTAAAGAATCTGCCTGCAGTGCGGGAGAACTGGGTTGGATTCCTGGGTTGGGAAGATCCCCTGGAGGAGGGCATGGCAGCCCACTCCAGTATTCTGCCTGGAGAATCCCATGGACAGAGGAGCCTGGCGGGCTGCAGTCCACAGGGTCGCAACGAGTCGGACACGCCCGAGCGACTGAGGACCGCACAGTATTGTTTGGTGACAGTACTCGCTAAACTGACCTGCAGATTCTGCGTAATCCATGGCAGGATCGCAGATGGCTGCTCTGTAAAAGTGGAAAACCTAATTCTGCGTTTCATATGGAATCGCAAGGGACGAAGAATAGCCAACACAACCCTGAAGGAGAAAATCAAAGTTGGAGGACTCCCACCTGTTTGCTTTCAAAAGGTCGAGTGAAAAAAGTCAGGAGCAGAATAATATGCCAAGTATAGTAGCATTCACTTACTCTAGTGAGT